TATGGAAAACTTTGGCTCAAAGACGGTAGGGTGGGTTAGAGTGGGCTTGAATTTCATCCTACCACCTAGTAGTCCAAACCTGGACAGACTTGTGTTTTGGTTCCAGGCTTTGGCTACTGCAGTCATCCCCCAGTGGCAGAAAGATGAACAACGAGAGACTCTGAAATCCCTGAAGAAGGTCATGGATGACCTGGACCGTGCTAGCAAAGCCGATGTTCAGAAGCGAGTAAGTCTTGGCCATGGTGGCAGCTGGAAGAGCCCGAGGTTTCCCTGGACAGAGGCTCGTGGGGTTCAGAGTCTGGGCTCTTAGCCTGAGCCTCTCTCCTGGGCTTCTTGTAGGTGTTAGAGAAGACAAAGCAGCTGATTGACAGCAACCCCAACCAGCCCCTGGTCATCCTGGAGATGGAGAGCGGCGCCTCAGCCAAGGTAAGCAGGGACTAGGACCAGGGCTGCCCTACTTGTGAGCTGTGTGTGTTTTCCCTCCGAGCCTTGTCAGACCTCTGGTGGCTCTAAGGCCCACTGCTTAGTACTGAAGCTAGGCTGAGCCATGGAGAGATCTGGGAGCCTGAGGAAGAAGGAGCTCCCTGGGAGAGGGTTTGGGCAGGGCCCTGCCTTTGGTCTTCACATGGGTTCCTGGGGACAGCATCTGCTAAGGAAATGGGGTGGTGCTCTGAGAAAGCAGGGCTCCCTTCCCTGGTGCTATGACTTGACATGAAGTTACCCCACAGGCCCTGAATGAAGCTTTGAAGCTGTTCAAGACACATTCTCCTCAGACGTCTGCAATGCTCTTCACAGTGGACAACGAGGCTGGCAAGATCACATGCTTGTGTCAGGTTCCCCAGGTCAGAATTCCCTACGGCCTCACTAGATCAGGCAGGCTATGGTGGTACACGCCTTTAACCCCAGCACTCTCAGGAGGCAGAGGCAGGTGGTTCTCTGTGAGTTTGAGGCCAGGCTGGTCTACAGAGCGACTGCCAGGACAGAGGGGGGAAAAAAGCCTGCAAACCCCTATGTCAGTGGGAAATGCTATCTGTAGCTTCTCAGAGAGGGGTTCTTGGTAGTATTTGCCAAGACACTGTATGTGCGTGTGTGCACACGCGTGTGTGTTCCCCCAGGCCTTCCTGTTGGTAGATATATTAACTACTGGCTGACGCCTGGCATTGCTTTTTGTTTTTACCTTGATAGTGGCTATAGCTGCTCCCCTGTAGCAGCTGTGAGTCAGTCAGTCTTGGCCTCTGGTAGTGTCACCCAGGATATGAATGGGTATTGGTGTCTGCCCTCCTCGTGGTGTCCCACTGTTCCCTACCTCAATCCCATTTTCTATTCTAACTACCATTTCCCTTTCCTGTCTTCTAGAATGCAGCCAACCGGGGCCTAAAAGCCAGTGAATGGGTGCAGCAGGTTTCAGGCCTGATGGATGGTAAAGGAGGTGGCAAGGATGTGTCTGCCCAGGCCACAGGCAAGAACGTGGGCTGCCTCCAGGAAGCCTTGCAGCTTGCTACTTCCTTTGCCCAGCTCCGCCTGGGCGCTGTCGAGAACTGACAGGAGGGAAGCCCTCACTGGGAAGCATTTCCCCATCCGCCAGATGTGTCAGAGTGCTGACTGCATCCAGGAGCTCCCTGCCACGAAGACGTCTGAGTCTTGGACTTTTCAGTCGCCCTATCTATCCGTCCTAATCCAGCAGTAACTGGAGCATACCTGGAGCTGTCCTGTGACTCCTTGCCCCTTTCCGTTACTGCTCTGAGCCATATGTGTCCACGCCATCTGTCTAGAATCACTACCCCAGGAATGCTGCATAGCATCATCATGATCTTGTCTAGATAAGGTAACTCTGCCAACCCGAGACTTCTGGGTCCTCTGCGGTAGAGGAAGCCTTGTTGCTGCAGAAAATAAAAAGGACCATGTGCAATACTCAATGCATCATTCTCCTTTTTCTCCGGGGGTGGACCCTGACTTCCTGTATGTCTGCAGAGTACAGGCCACAGGTCCAGCTCGTTTCTGATTGATATTATCACAGAATACATCCTAGACCCCTGACCGTGAGGAGTGGCCCCTGGGATAGCAGAGACAGAATGGATGGGCTGAATTGAGGCATTCAATAGAGTGGGGAAGATTTCTACTCAAATCCCAAGTGGAGAAACAACTTTCTCAGTCTCTTGGGACCATGGGTGTCTCTTCTCTGCCTCCTTTTGAAGTTGCTGATATGAGGTCAGACAACTAATACAGGAAGTATAAGCATGCAGGTATCTGTCTCCCAGAAACTCTGTTTCTTAATGTAGTTCAAGGCCCTGGCCTGGCCCAGCCCTAAATGATTAGTTTGAGTCTACAAACAGCAGAGTCCGGAAGCAGTAGTGTGTGGGAGGTAGAGATATTGCCTGCTCGTGTCAGTTCGTCAGGGTGTTAGAAATATGTATGTATATGTATATATATACATAGATGTGTGAATGTGTCTATATATCCAGTATAGGAAGAGTGATTTCCATCAATTTATTAAACAAGTGTTAAAGCTAGCTGGGGGACTGAGTACAGGAGTGAACGAAAAGCCCTCACGTGCAAGTTTATGTAAAAAAGTGTGAATGCAAAATTCAAGAAATAACCTTAACAGGTCAGAGTCACAAAAACCAGGCCAAGTCCAGCTGTACCTCCTCCACGCCTCTAGGTGGCGGAGCAGCCACCTACCACTCTCCCGATAGGCTTCGCGCGGGCGCGCCTGTTTAAGCAGGCGGAAGAGCCGGTGCGCAAGGTAGCTCCACAGGCGGAAGTGGCCCGTACGCCGGTAGCCGCCATGCCGGGAGACCACCGTCGTATCCGCGGGCCGGAGGAGTCCCAGCCGCCGCAGCTGTACGCGGCCGACGAGGACGAGCTGCCTGCTGCCCGCGACCCGACGCGGCTACGGCCGGTGTACGCGCGCGCGGGGCTGCTGAGCCAGGCCAAGGGCTCAGCCTACCTGGAGGCGGGAGGCACCAAGGTGCTTTGCGCCGTGTCGGGCCCGCGCCAGGCCGAGGGCGGCGAGCGCGGCGGCGGCCCTGCGGGAGCGGGCGGCGAGGCCCCGGCCGCCCTCCGTGGCCGCCTGCTCTGTGACTTCCGCCGCGCGCCCTTCTCCGGTCGCCGACGTCGCGCGCCCCAGGGCGGCGGCGAGGAGCGCGAGTTGGGCCTGGCGCTGCAGGAGGCTCTGGAGCCCGCCGTGCGCCTGGGGCGCTACCCTCGCGCCCAGCTCGAGGTGTCGGCGCTGCTGCTGGAGGACGGCGGCTCCGCGCTGGCTGCGGCTCTCACGGCTGCGGCGCTCGCCCTGGCCGACGCGGGAGTGGAGATGTACGACCTGGTAGTGGGCTGCGGCCTGAGCCTCGCCCCGGGACCCTCGCCCACTTGGCTGCTGGACCCCACGCGGCTCGAGGAGGAGCACTCTGCGGCCGGCCTCACCGTGGCGCTCATGCCGGTGCTCAATCAGGTGGCCGGGTTGCTCGGCAGCGGGGAAGGCGGCCAGACTGAGAGTTGGACGGACGCGGTGCGCCTGGGCCTGGAAGGCTGCCAGCGCCTTTACCCAGTGCTGCAGCAGTGCTTGGTGCGGGCTGCCCGCCGGAGGGGCGCCGCCGCCCCGTCCTGATTGGAAAAGCTGAGCAACAAGGACACGCGCGGATGTCTGCTGTCGTCCTTCTTTCCCAAACGCACCGGCTGCTGGTCGCCTGGCTTGGCTGAGCTGAGAAACGAGAGTGGGAGGTAGCTCGCCCCGAAACAAAGCACCGGACAGCTGTGTTGGAGCGGCTTAAAGGGCCTGAGCAGCCTTACTCCCTAGTTGGAAAGGAAGGACTTCAGCTGGATTACCTGCTGAGTGAGCTGTGGTCTTGTAAGGGGCGGACCCTGTGCAGGCCAGCCTTTGGCTCCAGTGTATGATAAACTGCTTCTTTTGAGAGGACGGACAAGGGGACTTTGCCTTCTCACTACCAGAACTAAAACATAAAAACCTTTTTTATACCTGAAAATACATCTTGTGGTTTTTCTTGGTACTTGAGTTAGAAACAATGCTGTTTTGAACTGGGCGTGTGTTGAGTCTGTATTGTACTGCCTTAAATTTCCCTGTCTCTTAGCTCACTGTAAGTGAAAAGGAGTGACGTGCCTTAGAGGAGAAAACTCCTGCCCCAGAAGCAGTGTCTGAGGTGAAAAGACCGACATGTCAGAACAGCCAGAGCTGCAGAGAAACCCTGTCTCGACTAAACGACAGGAGAGTTAAATGGCCTCAGAAATCTGGGTGCACACCTATCCTCCCCTTTGGTTTGGTGAAGGACAAGACCTAGGAGTTGGGGACTGAAAATTTATGCTCTAGAAGGAAGCCTGTCACTTTCTCCTTTGGCCAGTAGAAGAGCATGACTGGAGGTTTCCATGAATTTGCAGAATGGTAGTGCAGAGCTTTAAACCCAGCACTGGTGGAGCAGAAGCAGGTGGATCTCTGACTTCTATGGCTGCAGAGCTACATAGAGAAACCCTGTTGCAAAAAAAGGAAAAAAAAGTGGAGTCCTGGGCTGGCTTCATCATCTGGTGTCTCCTGTCCAGTGTTGGCTCCTGGGAACAAGGCTCAGGGCAGCAGTGGACTACCAAAAGGAAGAATTCCTAAGTACTGTGGCACCATTTACAACCTGGCTACTCCTTAGGCAGAGCTGACTTGACTGACCAGGAGTGTAGGGTCCCTAATCTACACTGAGTTGAAGGAAGCTTTGTGAGGCTGTTACGGGTATCCTAGGGGTCTGCTCAGTCTCTTATGAGGACCTCATTAGAGCCCCTGATCAGGATGAAGAAATACACTTTTTCTTTTTTCCCTTGTGACATGACTCTTTGTAGAGCAGATCTGAAGTTAGTATTATACCAGTGAAAATCAAGATTAAAAAAACGGCATAAACGTTAATCTGCTTACTTTGAAGGATAGCTATGGCTTTGTAGGGTACATGGTGGTGGGTTTAACCAAAAGGGGTTGGTTAGGTGGGCACACATATAACCTCACAGTTGGGTGTCACTGTAGGGACACAAGTGTCTTTACTACTGTGGCTGAAGAAAAGAGCTTCCACACCACCAGGTTTAGCGGTGCATGGGGAAGGAAAATAAGCAGTCTGCATTCAGTGAGGGCTAATAGTGTTCTTTGGGGTCAGGGTCCTCCTGCAAGACTGGGGATGGTGAGATACTGCTGGTTGTGGGACTTCCCTACGCTGCCCACCCCTGGATTCATGGAAAAGACTTCAAAAGTTAAACCCACTACCATCGGGAGGTCTTCTGGGTGGGTTGGCTGAATCATGCTTCCATTTGCATCGCCCCAGAAAGGTTACTTCAGGTTGTGTGGGGTCTTCCAAAAACACAAGACAAGGAAACAATACACCCAAGAAGTAACACTGGAGCCTGGAAGGGTCCCCACCTCTGGGCTATCCAGGTCCAATGCTTGATTCTTCACCTGTAGGATTAATAGGAGAGGCTGGCTTAGCACGAGTGGGAGGCATAGTTTAGGAGAGAACCTACCAAAACCTAGGTTCCCCCATTCCCCTCCTACCCCTATGTCTTGGGACCTTTGCTGAGTCAGAGACTAGAATAGATTCTTTGGGGGATAGGAGGGTGCTGGAGATTGTCTGTGCTAAGCATACCCACTACCACTGAAGTCTGGAAACCCAGAACTAGCAAACAAGAGCAAACATTCTTTCCCTAAAGCCTATTCTTTTTCCAGGGCAATTGTGGCTTAGGCCCTAGGGAGCAGTGAGGACTCTCCTGAGCCCATCCAGCCTGAGTTAGGCAGGGGGTCATGAAGGAATTGACCATTACCAACCCTGACCTTGATGAGCAGACTTGGGAAGCAGTGTGGGACAAGGGTAGCGGAGGAAGAGACAAGAGGGCAGAGAAAACAAATAGTCATCAGTTCAGATTTGGATTGTTTCAATGTAGGCACATTAGTATTCCACAGCCTCCTTCGGCAGCATGGTACAATGCAGCCCCAAGACCCAGAGGCAACCAATGGGATGAGGCCAGAAAAGTGGCAGAAATTCAGATTTTTAACAAGCTTACGCCGCCCCCCCCGCTTTCCTTTCCAGAAGATGATATTTCTACCCAAGATTGACTCAAGTGTCCAAATGCCTGGCAGTAGCCCCTGATATAGCTGAGCTGAGATAACCAAACCCAGAGTTAAAGCTGGGGAGGCTGTCCTCGGCATTGCTCTTGGGTAGAGGTTGTAAGTCATTGTCTGGACCCTATGACTATAGGTTCCTAGACAAGCCAAAATGCCCTGTCTTTGCTCAGAGAGGCCACAAGTAGGGTGAAGGAGAGCAGACGGCTCACTGCTGGCCCCTTGTCTGTGCTCTGTGCTTCCCACTGAGCAGCCCCTTGGTAGGTAGGTCTCTGGCCCCTGGACACCTGCTGGAGCTCAGCATTTGTGCCTTGCTTCCAGGACACCTGTGACAAGTTCTGTCACTTTCTTTTGTTCCTGTTCTGAGAGTGGATAGTCAGTTTGGAGGTCCCCGCTGAGTCAACCAGGAGCCCAGCAGTAATCTAGAACTGCAGAGAACAAGAGTGAAAATGAGGCATCTGGGGGGTACTAGGACAACCTAGACATCACAGAGGTCTTCTGCTCATGGGAACTGCCAGGTGAAATGAAGAAGTATAATACTGGAGGCCTACAGTGAGAGAAAGCCACAGACAGAATCCCCAATGCTGGTATCTGCAGGAGCAGGAAAAACTGGGACTCGCTGTGAGTGTGACCTGGGCACCCTCTTGAGTACCTGACCTGTGTGCTGATGCCACTGCTGCTCCATGAACTCCAGACTCTCCAACAGGCTGTCCACCTGGGCTTTGATCTGGCTCAGCTCCCGCCTGATGGAATTCAGCTCCTCGGTCTGGACTGCTGAGAGAGGGGGGCAGGGTTGATGCCCACGTGAACACAGAGGCCGCAGGGAATGAGAAATACTGCCAGGGTTTCCAAGCATCCCTCCCTTCAGATCAGGCCACCCAACGCCTCCCTAGCACCGACAGTGAGACCTGAGCCCCTCACTCACTCTTCCTCTGCCCCGGGGGCAGATGGCTGTTCCTGCAGACCTTGTAAGGGCTGTAGGTGTTCTTGACCCTCCGACTTAGGTGGACCCTGCGGCTCTTGGCAGGCACCTGGTTGATGACTAGAGGGGTTCTCTTGCTTCCATCCACCCTAAAGACACAGGAGAGGAGGGAGCAGTCAAGTCAGCTGGTTCCACCTCTGCCTTCCCCAGGCAAAACTCACCCACTAGCTAGAGGGGTAAGCCTTCTCTGTTCCACTCATAGTTCAGTTCATAGTCACCACTGCTGTGGCAACAAATGAGGGGAAACCAGAGTCTGTCTGTCCCTCAGCTGAACTTGGGAGGCCAAGTATACAGTTCCCTCCCTCCCTCCCTCCCTCCCTCCCTCTCTCCTTTTCTTTCACCAGTCTTACATAGCCCTGGTTGGCCTCAAACTCCCTTTGTAGCTGAAGCTGCCCTTGAACTCCTGACCATCCTACCCCCACCTGTCACTCTTCCTTTGAATGTCATGATTCCTCCGCCAGAAGACACCCTAGGGTCCTACCCAAAGTCATTTTGGAGACCACAGCAAACCAGCTTCTCCATGATTGGACTCTGCCACCCCCACCCCCACCCCCGCAGGTGGCAGTAGGGGGACAATGTCCTGCAGCCCGCTGTCCAGCCAGAGCTCTTCTGCCTGAGCCAGGCACTGCTGATCTTCGGGATCTTAGTCAGGCAGAGGATGAAAGGGAAAACTTAAGCCAGAGCCCAAGGTCTCAGTGAGGGTATGGAGACTTTAGTCCTAACATGGAAACTGCCAGAATGCAGAGGTCAGCAAACTCGGAGGCCAGCAGCAAAAGTTAAGGCTCCCGCTAAGTCACCTGTCCTTGGCTGCAGGTCATGGAAAACGGCCAGCTCCTAAAAGGTACCAGGCTCTAGGGTCGCTCTCACCCCGCTTCACATGAAGAGATCTGTGCAGACTAGTGGGTTCCGTACATGAAGGGCTGGTGCGAATACACAACGCGTTGAGCCCTGTAGGGGATGAGGCTGGTGAGCATGTTGCGTTGGGAATAGGGTCTAAAGTTAAGCAACTGTATCCCTTAAGGTGATGTTGCCGTCGTGCCCAGCTCAAAGGCGGACTCCGAGATCCAAACGAAGGACAGGTTGCGGGTCGCCCTTTCAGGGTACCCAGAACTGTGATGAGATTTCCGGCCACCTCTGCTTCCTGGCTTCTGGAGGGCTGGGTGGGCGGTTGATGACATTCAGAGCTGCTTCGGATTCCGGCCGGTAGGAGGAAGATCGAGCGAGCTGGCGCAGGTCATGGGGGGAGAAGGCGTGCAGCCCTCCCCAGCGATGTGGGTCTGATTACAGGGAGAAGTTGTACGTCTAGGGCTCCAGATGATGAGTTTTAGAAACATCTGTTCCATTCCCTAAACAGAGACTAAACATCTGAACCAGTATGACACCTTCCTTCAGCACGGCATTGGTGGTTCAGTGGTAGAATTCTCGCCTGCCACGCGGGAGGCCCGGGTTCGATTCCCGGCCAATGCAGCGCTTATTTTTCTTTGCGTCTTTATCCTTTATTTCTAAAATTATTTTTCTTAAATAGCCAGAAATGAGTGTGTGAAGAGAGACTACTTCGTCCAAATATGAGACTGCAGGGTTATCGCATTCATTCCTGCATCCTCGCCAGTTGCCAGCAAGGAGTCTCATGGTTGAGTTAGTTCCTTCACGTACACAGCGACCCCGACCCTTGACTTTTTCTTCCAAGAGGAGCAATCTGGTTGCACTAGGGCTAATTGCTACAGTCTGTCTAAAAACTTAAGACTTTCCACACACGAGAGAGCGGAGGACGAGGGGGGAGGGAGGAGGGGGAAAAGGGAAGCGAGCGGCTGGGAGGAGAGAGGGCTCTAGGCAAAAACCAATCTCCCAGAGCTCCACTTTGGAGCAGAAAGGAACACGTATGGACCACTCCTTTCCCCACATCCTCCACATGGACCAGGTCGTTCAACCTCAGAAAAACATGCTAGAAACCAGTTCTTCTGAGGGCAATCCAAACCAAGAGGATCAGACCATGCTGCTCCCATCAACTGGGGAAAAATTTAGAAGTGTCCCAGTCCCAGTGAAAGCCACTTCTGTTTGCTTCTGCCCACATCTTGAATGCCCAGAAACCCTTCTGAACACAGCTCGAAGTCCCCATCGGTCCACGTGCAAACCTTTCTCTTAAAGTGCTCCAATAGAGGCTAACAGAATTGGATTCAAGCTTCGTAGGCCAGAAGTTGGAGTGAAAAATATGGACTTTAACAACAAAAGTATCAAGACCAAAAGTGTCAAGAACTGACCAACTGTACAGGCCCCCACGTAGCCTCAAAATGCCCTTGTTTTAAAAAAAAAAAAAAAAAAAGCAGGAGCTGGGTGGTGGTGGGGCAAGCCTTTAGTCTCAGGCCTCGGAGGCAGAGGCAGGCAGATCTCTGTGAGTTCATAGACCAGCCTGGTCACTCTCTGTGAGTTCAAGACCATCCTGGTCTACAAGAGCAGCCTCCAAAGCCACAGAGAAGAAACCATTCCTCCCAAAATAAATAAATGAACAAGAAGCGGAATTGATGGCTTCTGAGCCTTTTAACAGAGAAGCCTAGAGTCCCAAAACCAAACTCAAGTTGTTAGTCTTGTTGGCAAGCACCCTTACCCACTAAACCATCTCAGTAGCTCTGTTCTTTTTATTTTTTGTTTTGTTTTGTTCCAGACAGAATCTCACTATGTAGCTCTGGCTGTCCTGGAACTCACTATATAGTCAAAGCTGTCCTGAAACTCACAGAGATCCTACTGCCTTTACTTCCCAAGTGCTGAGACTAAAGGCAAGCACCACTAGCCCAGCCTGCTCTTATTCTTTTAATATCTGATATGTCCTCTATCCAAGGATTATATAGTAAATGAATTTTTGGTTTAGGAAGATAATCCTTGCTGTACTCATTATCTCCAGGAAGGGTGCACCCAATCTTTAATCCCAGCACTTGGGCAACAAAGGCAGGAAGATCTCTGAGTTTGAGGCCCGCCAGGGCTCCACAGTGAGTTCCAGGCCAGCCAGGGTTAAATAGGGAGATCTTGTCTAAAAATTAAATAAACCAATGAGTGGAAGGGAGAGAGATGGATGGGAGCATTAGGGGAAGTTGAAGGGAGTTAGTGGTGAATGGATATGATCAGTATACACTGTATAATGGTATGAAACTTTCAAGGAATAAAAATATTGTCTTAAATGAAATAGCTGCATAGTGGTGGCGCATTCCTTTAATCTCAGCACACAGGAGGCAGAGGCAGGTGGATCTCTGTGAGTTCAAGGCCAGCCTGATCTACAGAGCAAGTTCCAGTACAGCCAGAGTTAAACATAGAAAGCTTGTCTCGAAAAAAAAAAAAAAACAAAATAAATAAATAAAACAAAAATGCAGATAAACACATATAAAACAACTGAATGGGTAAAGTGACTCAGTGGGTAAAGGTGCATGTCACCCACACTGATAGCCTGAGTTTGATCCCCAGGACTCACATAGTAGATGAAGGGAACCAACTCTTGCAAGTTGAAGTTGTCCTCTGACTTCCACACAGGAGCCATGAAATATAGACACTTGTGTGAATGGACACACACACACACACACACACACACACACACACACATGCAAATTAATAAATGTAAAATTTAAATTCTAAAGTAACCACAAAAAATAAGTTTTCCTAAAAATTGTTTTAGGCATGCCAAGCTAAGGACAAGTTGTCATCCAGAAATGTCCCTAGACATCTAGAAAAACATTTTCTGACTCCCCACAGGAGAGGTTCTCCTTGGAAGACTCCCTGACTCTAGGCTGGCAGACGTCAGGTAATGTAGGCTTGATAAGGTGGAATGCACTGACTCAATTCCCTCAGTAACAGACAAGACCTGAGGCTCAAGAATAAGTCACAGAATTGAGCAGCCTGAGTTGCAGAGTGGGCAGCACACTTAGGGAATCTAGATTCCCTTTTCCATCTCAAACAAGTGGATGATCAGTCTCCCTTGCTGACAGGATGGACTCACTGGAAGATGGCCGTGTCCTGTGTCCTCTTCTGGCCTGGATGGGCAGAGCCTGGCCTGGACTCTCCAGCCATGTTCAGTCTGAGGGTGAGAGAAGAGTGGAACAGAAGCCAGGGAATGAAAAATGGACTGTAGGAGGATGGGTCCTGTGCACACAACAATGGGCAGCCTGGTTTTGGAAAAACCCTGGCAACCCCTATCCAGGGCTATGCTCAAGCTCCAGAAGGCCATACTGGAAGTCCCCTAAGGATTCCCTTTGCATCTTTCGAAACAAGAATTTCCTAAGGCTGGAAAGGTTGCATTATTTCCTTCAGACCCAAACCCACCTCGTTGCCCAGGCCCTGGAGTTTAGGGTGGCACCATCAAAAGACAGGAGGAAGAACGTCCGTGGTCCTTGTGTCCTCTGAGGAGACACCCAGTGCTGGGCCCGGCTAAGTCTTGAGAGTCCTCCCACTAGCAGCCCAGGATGGAGAGTGCCCGTGGCAGCCAGCCTTGGCTAGCCTGCCCCTGTCAGACCCACGCCCAGCACCTGCTCCTGAGCTAAGCCTCAAAGAGCCAGGGTTGCTGGGAGCCAGAAGCAAAAGGAACTTTTAGAATGCTATTTTTTATTGTTGGGGGTGAGGCACACACCACAGAGTGCATATGGAGGTGGGACAACTTGCTGGAGTCACAAGATAAAACTCAGCTTGTCAAGCTTGCCCAGCAAGAACATTACCCACTGAGCCATCTTGCTGGCCTGAAAAAGGAACTTGTTTTTCTTTAAATCCTAAATTCACAGGATTTTGGCCTTCAGTCAAATAGCTTCCCAGATTCCAGACAGAGATTTTTGTTTTTTGTTTTCTGTTTTTGTTTTTGTTTTTAACTCGAAGGAGGCACATGCCTGTGCACTCTGACGGCAGGACAAACAGAATGGAGAGTTTAAGGTCAACCTGGACTACAGATCTGTTTAATACAATTTAATAATAACACTACTGGCTTTTCCAATAACCTAAGAGTTGCAGCTCCTTCTGCCCATATGTAATCAAGTCCCATAGTTCAACTTATAGAGGATGCTGATTGTGGATGCCTCCACTTATGGACCCCCACATTTCTGCTCTAACTAGTAGGCCAGGCTGGCCTCTAATTCACAACCCTCTCACCTTAGACAGTCAGCAGAAAGCCACAGGCATTGACCACCACACCAAGGAAAATATTTTAAATACAAAACAACCTCTCAGCTCATATTGTGTGTGTGAGACAGAGACAGAAACAGAGAGACAGAAAGAAACAGACACACACACACACATACAGAGAGACAAAGACAGAGACAGACAGACACACCCACACACACCACCCACACCCACACACACACACACACACAGACACACACACACACACACACACACACACACACACACACACACACACACACACACGGAATACACCCAGAAACCAAAAAGAGGATGTCTTTATCACTCTACTTTATGCCTTTAAAACACTGTTTCTCCATCAGATGGTGGTGGTGCACACCTTTAATTCCCGCACTTGGGAAATAAGGCAGGCAGATCTCTGTGAATTCTAGGCCAGTCTGGTTTACAAAGTGAGTTCCAGGACAGTCAGGGCTAAATAGAGAGATTCTGTCTCCAAAAATCAAAAAACCAAAACCAAAACAAAACAAAAAACCAAACAAACAAACAAACAAACAAACAAGACTGTTTCTCACTGACCCTGGAACTAGGCTGGCAACTAGCAAGCTCCAGCAATTTTTCTGCCCCCCAACCCAAGTGTTGGGACTATAAGCCCTGGTGGTAACTGTTTATTTAGTATTTATTTAGAATAATTTAAAATTTTATTTTATGTGCACTGGTGTGACGGTTTCAGATTCCCTGGGACTAGGGTCACAGACAATAAATGGTAAGCTGCCATGTGGTTGCTTGGAATTGAACTCAGGACCTCTGGAAATGTAGCCAGTTCTCTTAACCTCTGAGCCCTCTCTCTAACCCCTGTTTGTTTGTTTGTTTTTACTTTTCTCTCTCTTTTTTCCATGTGGATGCTTAAACCCACAGGGATGTCTGCTCAATGGAGGAAGTAAAAAAACCCTACATTTCACCCCCAAAGTTGGGCGTGGTTCTTGTTAATGATATGGTAACCTTTTTATCTGTAAAGCTAGACACCAAAATCCCCCAGAATGATTATCCCAGACTCTCCCTCCCTAGACCTTTGTCTTTCAGTCAATAGAACCCATCATTAGGTTCTATCATAGAGTTGTTGCATGTACTTTATAGTCTGCTGACCTCTAATGTTATCTCTTTCAGAGATCATACCAGATCCTAGGCCAATGGTTCTCAACCAGTGGGTCTTGGCCCCTTTGTGTCTGGGGGTGTCGAATGAATGACCTGTTCACAGGGGTTAAATATCAGATATTTGCATTACAATTTATAACAGTAACAATGAAATAATTTTATGGTGGGGGGTCACCACAACATGAGGAACTGTATTAAAGGGCTACAGCATTAGGGAGGTTGAGAACCACTGTCCTAAGCCTTTACTTCTTAAAGGTGTTTCCATGCAGTCATGCCTTAAACTTTATTGTGCACCCAGAACTGGAATGATTGTTGCCTGGAAACTTTTTCCAAATTCTATTGTGTTTAAATATGTGTACAATAAACTGCCTGGCATTAGACTCTCTAGAAATTTGACCAGCCTGATTACTAAGTCAGGCTGAACCAAGTTTTAATTCTCACCTTTTTTTTCTTCCTTCCTTCCTTCCTTCTTTTCTTTTTTTTCAAAACAAGGTTTCTCTGTGTAGCCTGGGCTGTCCTGGCCCTGTAGACCAGGCTGGCCTCAAACTCACCGAGATCTCTGGCCTCTGTCCACCTAGTGCTGAGATCAAAGGTATGCACCACTACCGCCCTGCGGTGTGCACCACTATTGCCTGGCTCATTTTCAATTTTTTGTGGTTTGTTTTCCTGTCTGTCATGATGTTTGCAGGGACAACTGCAGTGCAGGAATTACTCTGGCCCTCTGATCAATCTTTCTACTAACTCTCCAACACACATTTGTAAAAGAAGGGTCATGAGACCCTTCTTAGCATTGCCAATTAAACATACCAGTTAAGCATCAGCTGGAGTCACCTTAAAGAAGAAAACAAAGGAGCTCTGAGTTCTGTAGCCTGCTCCTGGTGGGTAAGCCAGGGCCAAGGAAGCAGAGACCAAAGTTCCTGACCGAGAAAGATCCCACAGTTACTGTTTTGATTATACTGCCTCTGGGTACTGCTGACATGACCACCTCTCTGCCTAGAAATGGTGGGAAGATGGCTCCCTTGGAACCTGTGGGGCTGGCTGGGTTCAACGAACTAAGTAGGAACTTCAGTGAAGAATTGGGACAAGCCTGGGAGGCGGGTGCTGAGGACCATGGATTCCCCCTCACCATCTGGACAGATGGGATCTGGAGGGGGTGTGTGGTCTCAGCTCTGCCACAGATTCTCTTGTGACCTGGAGGTAATGTCCAGTAGGGGGCTGGATCTCTGCAGCAGTTTTGAAGTTCACATGGATAGTAGGGCAAGCAGCCAAGATTCTGAATTGGGGCTCCTTTGAATTGGGGCTCCTTTATCCATTGGTGTGAAATCATAGCAAGATCAGCTGGGATCCCATATTCTCAAGTGCAGGGGCAGGTTTTGTGATTATTAACCTGTGCAATCACAGGTGTCCCATGAGGAGAACTTTCAAGCTTTGTTATTTTGAAATTCTTTCCATTTTTAATTTTTTTGGGGGGGTTTCTTTTTTCTTTTTTTGTTTGTTTGTTTTTTGAGACAGGATTTCTCTGTGGCTTTGGAAGTTGTCCTCAAACTAGCTCTTGTAGACCAGGCTGGTCTCGAACTTACAGAGATCCACCTTCCTCTGCCTCTCAAGAGCTGGGACTAAAGGTGTGCGCCACCACCACCGAGCCCCATTTTTTTTTTTTTTTGTTTTTTTCGAGACAGGGTTTCTCTGTATTGTTTTGGAGGCTGTCCTGGAATTCGCTCAGTAGACCAGGCTGGCCTCGAACTCACAGAGATCCGCCTGCCTCTGCCTCCTTTGTACTGGGATTAAAGGCGTGCACCACCAATGTCCGGCTCCCATTTTTAATTTTTAAAATTGCATGTATTTGTTTGTATATGTGTGTGTATATGTACATCTTCACACTTGGGCCACTGAATGTTTATGAAGGTCAGAGAAGAACTCTCAGGAGTCAGTTTCTCACTATGTGGAACCAAACTGAGACAGATCCTATGTTCCTGAAAGAAGCTGAAAATGCTTCTTTCTATCTTCCTTTCCCAGCCTTCCTTAAAGTCAAGACCTGAGCACCTGACTTAGGACTTCCAATCAGACCCATAAACCCAGCTTTAAAAATGGTGACATACGCTGGGCAGTGGTGGCACACACCTTCAATGCCAGCATTTGGGAGGCAGAGGTAGGTGAATCTCAGTGAGTTCAAGGCCAGCCTGGTCTACAAAGTGAGTTCCAGGGGGCTGGAGAGATGCCTCACAGGTTAACAGCACTGGCTGGTGTTGTTTCCCTCTTTTCCCTGGAGAAGCAAAACACACCCTCCTTTACTATGGAGTTCAGGCTGGCCCAGAATGCAAAATCTTCTTGCCTTAGATCCCCAAACACTGAGATCACAGACACTAAACCCAGGTTACAAGCAGAACTTTTTGGAAGAACCAGATCCAGTTCCTACTGCTTATCAGGTCTGCCAGTGCAGGAAGGAAGTACTGGGCTATTTATATTTATATAATGTATGTGTGCCCGTGGCAGTCACAGGACAACGTGCGGGAGTCAGCTCTCTCCTTCCACCATGAGAGTCCCAGGCATTGAGCCTGGTCACCATACTTAACAGCAAGTGTCTGCATCTGCTGAATTATCTTGCTGCCCTGACTTTATTTGTTTGTTTGTTTTTAAAGCAGAGTTGTACATCATAACCCATATTGGCCTTGAATTTACTATATACCCCAGCTGTCCTTGAGATAACTGAATTCCTCCAGCCTTAGCCTTCTGAGTGCTGGAATTACAAGGACTGAGCCACCACATCTGGCAACATAATGAATTTCTATATTCTGGGGAATCAGACATCCTGGTCTAGAAGAGCTTGCCACATCATGGAAAAATAAAAGTCCCCAGATGCAATTCCACAGAGATAGGCATATGGTAAGCCAAGTCCTGTAAATTTTCCAGAATTTACTATGAAAATCCACTATGAGCACAAAATCTTTCTGAAAAGCTTATTGAAAACCTGTAATTCTTTTTCTTTTTCTTTTTTTTTCCCCAAGGCAGGGTTTGTCTGTATTGTTTGTCTCTAGACCAGGTTGGCCTCGAACTCACAGAGATTCATCTGCCTCCCGAGTGCTGGGATTAAAGGCGTGCGCCACCAGAAACCCTGTATGTTTCCCTAGGATTGGTGACTACATGGAATATATGTCTCCACCCCATGATGACACCTTAGCGGTGTCCACTGTACATCTGCTACCTCTCAAAACCCAGTCTCCTGAGCACAGATATTGGGGTGGAAGGATCTGGCGCCTGAGGTCCCCCTTCCTCCAGCCTCTGTGGGCACGCTACGGTTTCCAACACGCCTGCCCACCGAGGACCAACACTGGAACATGCAACTCCCCTAGCAAGAGTTAGGGCTAGGGGAAGAACTCAAGGAGCTGTGGGAGGGACTGAATTACCGGGAAGTGGGCGGGCCTCTCACTCTAGGGAGGTGGGGTCAAGGCGGGGGCGGGGCCTCTTCGTTTGGTACATGAATCCTGAACACTTTTAAAGTGGCTTCACATCTCTGTCGTCCCAAGTGGACTCTTAACTACAGGCCTGGGGGCCAACGCAAGAAGGTAAGGCCCTCCTGCCTCCAAGCAGGCATCGCAAGCGGCGGGCAATGCTTCAGGCATAGTTCTGGCAGACTTTTATCGACTGGAGAAAACAGATGAGCTGACCTAGAAGAGTTTGCCACACCAAGGAAAAGTAAAGTCCCCAGATGAGATTCCACATATATAAGCATGTGATAGGTCCCTCAGGTGTCCACACTGTGAGCGAGGGGTCAGTTCTTCCTGTGTGCCCCCTGGCTTCACCAGACAGGTTAAATCAGTGAAAGAAAACTGAAGCATTAAGTGATACCAAACTGACTAGGTTTGTTTCTCAGCTATGCTGCTTTGGGCACGTTACTCAACCTCTCTGCTGGCGTTTCTTCAGCTGTAAAATGATACGGTGATGTGTGCTAGTACTCCACAGGCGGAGACAACACACGCTCCTCAGAGTTTCAGGGTTTTTGTTTGTTTTTAACCTTGCTGCTCAAGGCACAATGCTGAGAGCTGCTAGAAGCAAAAGAAAAGAGGAGAAAGAGGCCCTTGAGTAAATTCAAGGCCAGCCTGAAATTGGCCAGCACAACAGAACAAAGCAGTAGCTTCAACGATGATACAAAAACAAAACAAAAGACACACAGGGAAAACAAGACAATTTTGATCAATTGCAAAGCTAACTGATTCATTACTTCATTTAATCCTTTGTAAAGGCTCTGGCCTGGAAAATTCCAGCTTCCCAAGGAGTTTGGTCCAAATGAAGCAGAGCAACTTCTGGCAACTGGCTCTGGCTTTTGCTTCAGGGGCCCATGGAAGCCCGTCTTTCCACTCAAAAGCAGGCTGAGGGTCCCTGGCTCTTCTCTTCCCATGCTAGACTCCTTTAGGACCCCCTATACATTTCTCATGGTGATGCAATGCTACCCTTACCCAGTGTCCAGCATTGTGCAAGTTCTGAGGCCTCTTTAGATGTGGTATATTCAGTTCCAGCCCAGCCCTGGTTTCACACAGGTGAGCAGTCAGACAAACTAACTTGTGCACTCAGGGGCTGGCGGGAGAGCTGCCTGGCCAGGCTCAGGGCCCTGGCTCCCACAGGGAGATGTGCTTCTTAGCTGGAAAGGAAGCATAACAGAGTGAGTCCTCCTAGGAGGGGGACTCTGATGTACTCATTTAGAAGTAGCCATGGCTGTGTTCTCTTAAGAACTCCAAATTCAAATAGGTGGATGCTGGGAGCTTGGATGTTCCAGGTTTTACTTCCCCTCCTCCATAGCTTATTGGGCTGTAGGCAATTAGGGAACAGTAAGGAATCTGATAGATCCCCAGGTGATAGCTTTCATGATTGGAGGAGAGGGACCCTGGAGAACTCCCCAGCAAGATGTGGGTCCAGTCATGTTTCTCTGCATGGGCATGATATGCAATGCTGGGCTATCATCCTCTCGAATCAGACAGCTGTAAATACAAGGCCCAGAGCAGGAAACTCTCTCTGACTCTGTGTGCCCGGACACACGCTGTTCCTATGATTTGGATATCCAAGCAACTTAGAGCAGACCGTTAGCACTAAGGGGTCAGGTATCAGAGGAGGGAAGCTGAGGGCATGGTCTCACCAAACTGACAGATGTAACGGTTCCTAGTTTTACAGCGTTGGTCATTCCAGTTGAAGGCAGCAGATGCCTGCATCTCCACACAGTTCCCAAACCTGCAGGGCCAGGATAAAGAGTGCTTAAGTAGAGGAATGAAACTGGGAATCTAGCAGAGTCTTTAACCCTAACCCCTTTAGGCCACCTGCATCTGTGAGACCCAGGTGTTTCTCATGCAGTGGGGCTGCTGGGAGCCAGGGCCTTTCTGTTCCCCAGACACCACAGGTCTCCACGGAGACTGGGAAGTCCCTCTAGCGCCCCACTCAGCCCAGTCCAGCACTTAGCCACAGCGAGAATAGACGAGCCCACACCCTTCTGCCACCAAGAGAATACATGCCGAAAGTCCCGTCAGGCCTGACTGCAACGAGGGTGTGCTGTGAGAGGTATTTGGAGCCCTTGGTGACCCTATAGACTCACCACCTCTGTCCCTGTCATGGCACTCCTGGGCTTTGAAGACCAGGGCGATGCCACATAGCCAGAATGTTCTCTGTACAGAACAGCTGGTGGGGTATCCATGATGAATGCAGATGGGTAGATGCCAGAAATGACGTATTGGTGCAGGCAGCCGGCAGATAAGGGAGTGGGTTACAGGCAGCAAGTACAAATGGTAATGACATATGGATGCAAACTTCTCGAGTCCCCTCTCCTATGTAATGTGCTTTCTGTGCCTTCCTTACCTCGGCCCCGTGTCTGCATCAGCTGGGTCCAGGCTTCCCTAAAACCAGTTAAAGTCTAAACCATCATAGGCTGGGTGAAGGTTCTTCAGTGGCATCTGAAGCTCAACCAGACAGGCCCAAGTGGGAAGTGGGCTTAGGGGAGGGTAAGCATCCCGGACTCACCCCTGGTTGTCAGGCTGCCCAAAGGCAAAACTGGTGAAGGACCGGTGTTCTCCAGTAGTCCAGCGGAAGGAGTCTTTAGCTGCCTTGTAGGTGAGACCTGGACCAGGGTAGCCAAGGTTGCCCACCATCTGAGAGTCCTAGCCTGCTGCCTAGTACCTTTTATGTTCCCAGATGTTAAACTTCTCTTTCCAGAACCTTCCCCACCCTGTGGTTCTTCCCTCCCTGCAGCCCTCTTCCCTGGAAGGAAATCATCCTGATGACTGACCCATCCCAGGCTCCATACCCCTGCTATCTGCTAGTAGGTGATGTGGGTTGCCACAGTCCACCTGGAGCCTTGTGGGGCTTCGGTCCTCCCCTTTACCATATCCTTCAACTGCCAAGCACTTACCAATCCAGAAATTCCTGGTCTCAAAGTCACTGTCAGTCACTTCGTTGGTGGTCTCCAGGCGGCCCAGGTAGAAGGCAAGGATGTCTTGTACTTTCTGGCTCTCGATCTGGGCTAGTACCCCACCTTTTCCCTGTAACCCCACTCTGGGTCATATGGGACACACTGTAGAGCTCAGGCCCAGAACTGTGTACCCATTCTGTTGTCCCACCACGGCCAGGATCCCAAATGTGTGTGCTGGCACACTAACCACTTCCAGTTTGGAGTAGTTAGCTGGAAGTTGGGGTACCTTAAACTTAGCTCAGCCTGGTGCAAGAGGGTAAGGATTCTGCAGTCAGCATACAAACTCGGGCTTTCCTGTTCCATCCCCAACAACCATCCTGCCTTTAAGAATGGAAATCCATTTTTTCTCCCCTGCCAGACTCCCCTCTGTGTGCACATGAACCCAATTGGCAGTTTATATGCCCAAGCGTGGTCCTGCTCTCACAAGAGTCTTGTCTCAATAACATGGCATCTTGAATATATTTAGGCCAATTGTCAGTATTAGCAAGTCAAGAAATACCAAGGGATACCTGTGTTTCTGGCTTCAGAAAACCATGTGTTCTGACCCTCCTGAGCTAGCATCCCAGCATGCCCACCACTAGCTGGAGCTGCGTCAAGACAGCTCTTTCCATAGGCCTTGTTCCTGGGTGTTAAGTGGGCTCCTGACTTGTATGAGTCTTAAACCTACGACTCCTGCTTTATCCTAATGAAGAGAGCCAGGCCAGGGGAAGTTGAAGAAACCATGTCTTGGTCCAAAGCCACCCAATCACGACTCTGTTTGAGACCCTGGGAAGGCAAGGGCCAACCCTCACCTGACATTTCATCTTGGCTCCGTAATAGGTGTCTGCCTCGGAAGACACCATGAAGCAGTCTCCATCAATCCTCAGGTCACAGGTGTGAAAAGGAAAGTGCACCTTGGCTGGCAGGAGGGACAGGAAAGCCCAAGTTTGTATGCCGACTGCAGAATCCTTACCCTCTCCCTCCAGGCTAGCTAAGTTTAAGGTACCCCAGCTTCCAGCTAACTACTCCAAACTGGAAGTGGGTAGAAGTCAGTAGTGTGCTGGTAAACTTGCAAGTGTGAGAATCTCAAGGGGGGGGGCTGGGGAATCTAGGGCTGCTGAGATGATTCAGTGGGTAAAGCGCTTGCTGCCCAGTCTGATGTTCTGGGTTCAGTTCCCAGGGCCCACATGGTGGAAGAAGGAGAGAATTGTCCTCTCACATCCACACCTGCTGTGTCACACACACACACACACACACACACACACACACACACACACACACACGTCATTTAAAAAAAGGGAGCAGTAGTGACACATACCCTTAGTCCCAGAATTCAGGAAGCAGAGGCAGGTGGGTTTCTGAGTGAGGCCAGCCTGGTCTACAGAGTGAGTTCCCTGACAGCCCTGTCCCCAACACAAAAATCTATAACTTGTAGCATTTGCCAATTCCATTGGTATAAATATCCCACTGCGGCCAATTTGAGGATATCCCTGTGTTTCTCCTGAGCAAGGAGTTGGTAATAGCTCGACACATGGACTCTTAGGAGCTGGTAAAATCAGATGCAGCCTTCCTCCCACCCCACTGAAGAGGGTTCTGAGAGCAACCTCGAGTTGAAACTCACTGGCACACTGGGCTCCCCCATAGCCGACATCACAGATGCAGGAACATTCTTCTTCCCGGAATCGGCCATGCACACACTGCACACTGCACCTCACTGCCGAGACAGGCCAGCCACAGCTAGAAGCTCTCCCAGAGACACAGCCTGCAAGGGCAGGCTTCCAGCTCCTGCCATGCTTGGCTGCTTTGGTTTGGTTCTCGTTGTAGAGAGAAGCAGACTGAGGTTCAGAAGGCCACGGAGCAGTGGGACAAGAGGGACCCCTTCTGCCTCCTAATTCTATCTTTGTTTCAATAGATAGTCTGAAGGGCCAAACCTGATTCTTTTTATTTTTTTTAAGCCAGAGTGTTACTCTGTAGCCCTATAGCTTACTATATAGCCTAGGTTGGCCTGGAGCTCATGACAGTCCTGCTGCCTCAGTCTCCCAAGTACTAGGATTATAGCCCTAAGCATTTTAAATTGTATGTATAGCTTAGGGTATGGCACACAGCTGGGCCCAGTGAGTTTTTTATGAATGAATGCACAAAGTCTGAAAACCCAGTAATCAATACTTTAAATGCACTTGAGACGCCCTCAGAACACTCTGAATCTTGGGCCACCTCAGCCCTCCAGCTGCAGGACACACCACTGGAAAGATGTACACCCACCCAGGTGCATCCCCTCAGGGCAGCCTGAATAGGCACTGAGTCCTCACCTTGGCAGTACCTCCCTGTGTAGCCCGGGGGACAGTGACAGTGACAAGTGCTAATGTTGAGATGGCCATGATTTCTGCAGCTCACGCGACATGGGTTTCTGGGAACCTCTGGTGAGAAGAGTAGGTAATTCTGAGAAGGGGCCTCTCTCTCCAGCAGGTCAGGCAGAATCTTTCCAGTCTGCTGAGGCCAAGACTTCCGGGACAGCCTCTCAGACTGCTTGGTCCCACCGATTCTAAGCCCTTTGTGCCCCTGCTGTTCCAGATACTCACCACAGAGGCCCCCTGCGTGATCCCAGGCTTTGAAGCAGCCGGAGACGCTGGCTGTGCAGAGCGAACACCAGGGGCCTTTCTTATACGGGGCGATCGTCTTCCCGTTGACATCCCAGTTGCCTCTGTGAGAGCAAGCATCAGAGGGTCTGGAGAACCTGGCCTTGGGCGGGGCAGGAGCAGGCGCTTTGGACGGAGTTGAGGCAGGGCCTTTTACGGGGAGGAATGGGTCCTGGATGCCTTCCCCATGGGCTCCTTTAGCACCTCAAGCCCAGTCAAAGATTCAGGGGGCTGGATGTGGCAGAGAGACCAGCAAGGAAACAAAAGATGACTTCTGTGTGGATCGATCGTGGATACATGCCCTCAGAACAGAAAGGCCTGCACTTCATGGCCGGACACTTTGTATCCTCTTCCTTTCCCCAAGAGGTAAAGGCGTTTTGGGTGGCTGCCGTGCATAGCTCACCCTGAGAGGAAGTCATCCATCCACTCTGCCTCTTCAGCCTCCCTGCCCTTCCACCCCACCCGGCCGCCAGTTATCACTCAGCCTATGGTGAGGGGCTTACCCGGGGGAGTAGACACAGACAAAGGCTTCCATGGCTGCCTGGTCCACAGAGCACAGATGCCTCCCACAGCCCAGCTGGCTGGAGGTGGCCCACACAAGCTGCAGAGAAGACAATGGTGCAGAGACCCTTTCAGACTAGCCTTACTTCAGTCTGGGGGATTGCAGCGCAGGCAATGGCACCTGGGGAGGCTTTGGTCTCCTTTACCTCCCTGGGGCCCAAGGAACAGCAGCTCTGCTGAGCAGAGCCATCAGAGTTGAGAGAAGCTTTTGGAAGGCAAGGGTTTTGAAGGTTACTAAGTGTTGGAAGGAGGGAAGATTGTGAGCAGATGGAGAGAGTGACAAAAGAAGGATATCAAGGACCGTGTGTAAGATTGGGAAAATGGCCACAGCCTTCCCTTCTCCCTCTACCAGTGGCATATCTGATATTTACATTACAATTCATAACAGTAGCAAAATTACAGTTATGAAGTTGCAATTAAATAATTTTATGGTTGGGGTCACCACAACTTGAGTAACTGTGTTTAGGGTATTGAAGCATTAGGAAGGTTCTAGGAAATCGCTATGTAAACAGGTTGGCCTCAAACTCATAGACTTCCACCTGCCTCTGCCCCCCCCCAGATGTTGGAATTAAAGGCATGTTCCATCATGCTCAGTTTATAGACTGTTCTTTTCTTCTGGAGGGTTAATCCAGGGCCTGGCACATACTAGGCAAGGGCTCTACCATTGAGCTACATTCCCCAAGTCTACTAACCTGTACTTTTTTTTTTCCTAAAGGAAAACCTCATATCATTTAGGTTAGCCTCAAATGCTCTGTGCACCCAAGGATGACTTTGAACTCCTGATCCTCCAGCCTTTACCTCCTAAGTACTAGGATTATAGGCATGCTCCATGTCTTGCTTTAATGTAATGTAATTTTTTTTTTGGTATTTACGAGACATAAACCGGGTTTCTCTGTATTGTTTTGGAGGCAGTCGGTCCAGCCTGGCCTCAAACTCACAGAGATCCCCTTGCCTCTGCCTCCCGAGTGCTGGGATTAAAGGCGTGCGCCACCACCGCCCGGTAATTTTTAAGTTTATAATTTTAGAGCTAGAGGTATAGTTCAGTGGTAAAGTGTTCTCCATCATGTGCAAGTCCCTGGGTTGAATCCCTAGGACCACACATACACAAAATTAAATGAAAAAAAAAAAAAGAGGAGAAAGGGACTGGAGAGATGGCTCAGAGGTTAAGAGCACTGGCTGCAATTCCAGAGGTCTTGAGTTCAATTTCCAGTGGCTCATAGCCATCTGTAATGAGATCTGGTGCCCTCTTCTGACATGCAGGCGGAATACTGTATACATAATAAATAAACAAAGCCTAAAAAAAAAGGAAAAAGGATAAAATATAATTTAAGGAAATAAATCCCCATATCATCATTGAAAACAAAACAAACAACAACCAAAAAACAGCCTAAGTAACAATAAAAACACTAATATAAAATTTATGGCAGATGGTGGTGGCTGATGCCTTTTTTTTTTTGTGTGTGTGTGTGTGTATACAGTCTTCTGCCTGCATGCCAGCAGAGGGCACCAGATCTCATTCAAGGTGTGGTTGCCTGGAATTGAACTCAGGACCTCTGGAAGAACAGTCAGTGCTCTTAACCACTGAGCCATCTCTCCAGCCCGGCTGATGTCTTTAATACCAGAATTTGGGAGGCAGAGGCAGGTAGAGCTCTGTGAATTCGAGGCCAGCCTGGTCTAAGAAGCTAGTGCCAGGACAGCCAGGGCTACACAAAGAAACCCTGTTTCAAAAAACAAACAAACAAAAAACCCTTATGGGATGGGGCAGGAGGATGGCTCGGCAGTTAAGAACACTGGCTTCTCTTTCAAAGGACCAGGGTTCAGTTCCCAGCACCCACATGGCAGTTCATAACAGTCTATAACTCTATTTCCAGAGGATCTGGCACCCTCATTCAGACATACATGCAGGAAAAACCCCAAGGTACATTAAAAAAAAATAAAAACAAAGTGTATGGGAAGAGGCTGGCCATGATGGCGAACACCCCGTCGGCACAGCACTGGAAGCTGGAGACAAGCGGCTTACCAAGCCGCGGTCACCCTGGGCTGTGTAGTGAGACCCTGCTCAAAGAAACAACAACACAGAGTGGTGCATTCTGCACGTGAGAGGTTGAGACAGGAGGATTGAAGTGAGCTTGAGGCCAGCCTGGCCGTGTTGGAAGACCCTGTTTAAAATGGAAATGTAGAGGGGAAAGGAAACAAATTTAAAAGTTCAAAATTCTTAAATTCATATAACAGAAATATTTAAAAAGACTAATATGGGACTGGGGCTGTAGTTCTGTTGGGAGAGTGCCTGCCTAGCATTGTAAAACCAGGTATGGTGGCACTTGCCTGTCACCCTAGCACTTGGAAGCAAAGGACCAGAAGTTCAGGTCACCCTTAGAGTATCTATAAGCCTGGAATACTTGAGACCCTGTGTCAAAAAAAAAAAAGACTTCAAAACAAACAAACAAACAAACAAAACCAAAATGACTTCATATTAATGAGATAAAAATCCACATCAGGCTGGGCGTTGGTGGCATACCCCTTTAATCCCAGCATTCGGGAGACAGAAGCAGGCTGATCTCTGTGAGTTTGAGGCCAGCCTGGTCTACAGAGCGAGTTCCAGGACAGACTCCAAAACAATACAGAGAAACCCTGTCTCGAAAAACCAAAAAAAAAAAAAAAAAATCCACATCAGAAGACAAGAAGAGGTGGAATAGTAGCTTACCCCTGTAATCCAATACACACACACACACACAAAGCATACAAACAAACAAACAAACCACAAAACAGTGGGCCAGAGAGATAGCTCAGGAGGTAAAAGTGCCAACTACCCAAGATCCAACCCCCCGGAATTGTCCTCTGACCTCTGCATGTGTGTGGAGGCATACACATAAATAAGCAAATAAAATATTAAATGAAAGGATGACTGGGAAGACCATGGCCTAGGTACATCAGCAATACACTCACCTGTGTGTAGTGTGTACAGGTGGCGTTGTGGGCACACTCAGCATCCCCATGTCTATACTGAAGTCCTTCAGCGAACCAGAGGTTGACCACTTCGACAAAGGATGCTGAGCCCACAGGCAATAGCTGCACATTCCAGCCCACTTGCGGGATGTGCTGTGGGGCAGATACCAGGTCCGGGGTGACTGAAGTGCCACAGAGGGCTGCTCTGGCTTGAGCTGCTTGGGCCAGGCTCTCACTCCAGTCCTGGGAGTGGCAGAAACAAAGACATCGTCAGGTGGTGTATTCATTTTTTCCCTTTCCAGTTGCCATGTGACAAAAGCAGCTTAGGGGAGAGACAGTTTACTTGGCTCAAATTCCAATTCATCCCCACAGAGAAGACAAGGAGGCAAGAACTTGAAGTTGTTGGTCACAACCAGTCAAGAGCAGAGAGAGAACGAGTCAAGCATGCTACGCTCAGCTCACTGCATCCTTTTCCCTGGTGCTACGGTCTAGGACTCAAGCCCAGGGAATGGTGCCACCCACTGTTTCTTTTTTTTTTTTTTTTTTTTGGTTTTTCGAGACAGGGTTTCTCTGTGGCTTTGGAGGCTGTCCTGGAACTCACTTTGTAGACCAGGCTGGCCTCGAACTCACAGAGATCCGCCTGCCTCTGCCTCCCGAGTGCTGGGATTAAAGGCGTGTGCCACCAACGCCCGGCTCCCACTGTTTCTTTTTTCTTGGTATTTTGTTTTTGTTTGTTGGTTGGTCGGTCTGTTTTTGGTTTTTTGAGACAGGGTTTCTCTGTTGCTTTTTGGCTATTGTCCTGGAACTCGCTCTGCTGGTTTTGAACTCAGGGATTAAAGGCACGCACCACCACCGCCCAGTTTCTTGGTGTTTTTAGACAGCTTCTATCTGTGTAGCCCTGGCTGGCCTAAAACTCTCAGAGACGAGCCTGCCTTTGCTGGGATGAAAGGTGTGTGCTAATGTGCTCAGTTAGTACCACCCACTTTTAAACTGGGTCTTCCTATGCCAGTTAATGCGTCGAGACTGTCCGCCACAGATGCACCCCCAGGTCAACCTAATATAGACAATCACTCAGTGAAATTCTTTCTCAGGTGATTCTATTCAAGTTGCCATAATCAACACTAACCGTTACAACTGGCCTTTGGGTAAGAGGGAAGCTAATGGCAATGAGTCATCTCCCACTTCTCTGAGCATCTGTGGGGTGCCAGGTCATACTGAGCAAAGAGCTGGTTTCCTTACTGCAGAGTCACAGTGGGTTCTGGAGGGGCCTCCGGAGCTGCCCAAGGTATGTCAGGAAAGCAAATTGTGCCTCCTTCTTCCTGAGTCTTGCAACGACATCCTTAGGCCCTGCCTAGGGAACATCACCAGCGCAGGCAAGGGGATGATTTCTCTGTCATGTTCCCCATCTTGTAATATGAGCCTGGACAGTACCTGACTTGCAGGATGGCTAGCTCTGTGTTTTCTTTAAGAGCTGTCTCTGGCCACAGTCAGAACTCTGCTGCTCCCATCTGCCCAAATGTGATTTCTCCAGGCCTTTGACCGAAGGGCCCTGAGAAAGGGACAAACCACCAGCCAGCTAATCATAACCCTCAGGGTCCTGGGTGTGGAAGGACTCACTGCCAGGTATTACCACTTGGAAGACCTGGCTGCTCAGGACAGGAGGCATGAGTTGGAGACAGAGCCATGCAGAGGAGGGCAGGGGAGAGAAGCAGACCGCTCCCTCCTGGCCCTCCCCCACCTCCTGGGAAACTGACCCCTGAGCTCTCAAGGTCGCCACCCACTGTGGCTGTCAGCCTCAGTGGACTTTATGGGAGGCAGCCATGGGGAACCTTGCCCTCCCTTTCCCATTCCACCCTTGTTCCCGGGTCTGTTCACATGGGCTGGGTCTACTGGTGTCCCAGACTATGAAGGCAGCATGTCTGAGCCCCCATGATGATCAGCCCCAACCCTGCAACCTCAATCATGGAGCTTCTAAACTGCAAATAAGTGAATGAGTGAAGAACTTGGGAGAGGCCCCTAATACTTGCTAGACAAATCCTGGTCACATACCAGTCCCCCACAGCCCAGCGGGACGCTGCTCCCTCCCTGCTCTTCACCTCTCTGTTTCTGTTGGACTCCTTTGTGGAGCTCCTTTTCCCTGGAGGAGAGAAGCCTGGCTCCTCCATATTTGTTGATCTCCGTGGCAACAGGATGCCAGGAAAGGCAGGTTGGTCCTTTATTGAGTGTGAGTTGCTGAGGGCCCTGACCTCAGTACTAAGGGCTTTCCCTGAAGAAAGAAGCTACATAGTCCTCCAGCAACCAAGACCATGGTGCCCCCAGTGAAAGGGGATCTGGCACTGGCAAGGCCTCCTGAGCTCACTTTGGAGCTCAGGACCTCTGGCAGCCCTCTCGATACAGAGTGGTTGGGCATACTCACCATTCTCTGCATGTTGGCTGCAGGAGGCTGGACTTGGCTGCGCAGACGGTTGTGTAGGGAGAGGATTAAGAAACTCTCCTTCCTGCTCAGGGCTGGAGGCCAGGAGAGAAGGTTAGGTTGATGACCAGCAGCACCTGGGACTTCTCCATAGCCAGGCAAGAGTGCTGTCCCACCCAGGGACACAGATCTGAGATGAGGGGGGACAGTGGTAGGTGGGTAGGGGAGAACTCCCAGTACAGAGATGGAGGGAGGCCGGGAGAGAGACAGGGAAGTGCGTGAGGACAGACCAAGCGTAGAGCGATGCTGTGAGCTTGTGGCTTGTGGGTAGGGGATGATGTGGGAAGTAGGAGACCCAGCCCTGGACTAGAAGCAGTGCTAGCAGCGGCTCCTTTCTCCCATTGTGCTTCTTCTCAGGTCTCAGCTGCAGGCTGTCACCAGTACCTTTCCCTAACTCCTGGACCCATCTGCTTCTTCCTTCTTCCTCCCCGGTATCCTTCCCCCATGCCCCTCTGGATTGTCGTAATGGGTCCCCCATCATATCACATGAGTCCTGGGTACCTGACCTTTGGCATCCCTTCTTCAGGCTCACAATAGCACCCCTACTCCCATTTTTGCCCGTGTATCCCTTACCTTGGAGAGCTGGAACTGGTTCTGGCATTTGGGGTGCTGGCACCTCTGTGCAGGTGATGCCAAGGAGAGACAGGAGCAGAAGCAGGAGACCAAGCCATTGGCTCTGGCCTCCCCGACCCAGGGAGAGCTCTGGATGAATCCTTGGCCTGCCTGGTGCTGCAGACATGGCTTCTCTCAGCATTCCAACTAACTTCCCAGGCTTCCTGAAGCTATTCACAGTCTGAAGGAGTCAGGCTAAGCTGCCAGACAAAAGGAGGAGGCTAGTGAGTCATCATTGTGTCCAAACAGCCTCCCCTCAGTGGTGCACCGGCTTCAATGGAGACATAGAGCCCTTCTGAATGCCGCCTGCCTCCAGCTTCCGTGTCTGCTCCACAACAGCAAGCAGAGCAGTGTGCACTGACCCTGTGGCCCCTGCTAATCATTGTAGGATTATTAGCACCCTCGGGGAGCCCCCAAAGACCCTGCTGATTGGCCTACAGACATTCCAGGACTGTGGATTAGCGACCGATGGCTTTACCCTGGCAGGGACAATGTCCCCCAAGCCCATGGACAGCTTCTATTCCCCAGCTCTACTCGTGGGGTGGAGGCTGGGACTTTGGCAGGGAGCCCATAAAGCAAGCAGGAACTGGGCAAGACCCCAGGGGAGTTCTTTCCTTTCTTGGGAAGCTCATCCCAAACACCCAGCCATGAATTAAACATAAGGCAGGAAGTAACTATTCACCAGACAGGTGCCACTGGTGGGATCGTAGAAGAGTGAGCTGAGCCGCATTTTCAGGAGGAAAGGTGTGCCTTACAGGGATACTTCTGGGCAGTGTGAGAGGACCAGGCCAGCTCCAGGGCCCACCATGCTTACCCATGTGACTTTGGGCCAAGACAGGGGCAAGGCAGACAAAGAGGAGGGCGTGTGATGGATGCCCTTGGCTGACTTGAGTCCTGCTGGGTACAAGCCTGCCTCTAAACAAACAGACCACAGTGGAACAGGAAGACAGCAAATTGCCATGGTGTTTGGGGCCTAGCTGAAGCCTACATAATCCCTCCAGAATCTATGAAGATCTGCCACAGCCAAATCAAAGGCTGGCATGCAGACCCTGTATAGCCAAAGGCCCCCCAAGGCTACTCTCCTAAAGCGCGGCCTTGCAAACCATACTTTGTTTTTGTGAAGTTGGTGTAGTCCCTGACCCTGGAGTCGGCACTGTCTCAGATGTCACCCCTTTGGAAATTCTGCTGGGGCACAGGTGGAATGCATGGGCTTCTGGAGAAACGCTAATGGAATATGGATGTCAGGCAGTGAGGACAAGCCCAGCAGCAAGGTGTGCATCTTTGTACAGTACCCAGGGCCTCAAGAGCTTCTTCTGCCTCCAACAGGTGGCTTGGCAACTTCAGGCTCACCATAGTAGGTCCTATCCATGATGAATAAGACCTGCATTTTTATTTGTAAAAAAATTGCTGTTATGTGTGTGTTTGAGTATGGGTGTCTGAGTGCTACAACATGTGTGTGGAGGTCAGGAGATAACCTTTGAGAGAGAGTTTTCTCCTCCTTCCTGTTGTTCCTAGAAGTCAAACTCAGGTCACCCAGCTTGGTGGCAAGGACTATTTCCCACTGAGCTAAATTGCCAGCCCTATAGCCATCCTCTTAATAGAGCTTACAAAGCATGTTTACAGCGTAACTTATTCATGTCACAACAACCTTGTTCTGATGCTATTTGGCAGATGGGGAAGATGGACACAGTGAGTCTCAGGGCATTGCTCAGGGTACATACATCCCAGCTAATTCAGAACCTCTTGACATTCACATTCCCAGGGTTTTGACTTATTTACATAGTGGATCTTTCAGAGTTCAGTTTTCAATAACTTCTATCTGTGCTGGTGATAAATGACTCCATTCCTGGTCCTAGATTCCAGGATAAATATGTCTCATTGTCATTGGACTTTGAATTGGATAGAAGGAAAATAATTACTGGTGGAGCAACTTTAAAAAGTTTTCCTTCATTTTATGTTTATGGATGCCAGTGTGCATGCATCGTGAGTGTATCACCCACAGAGTCAGAAGAGGGTGTCAGATCCCCTGGGACTGGAGTTACAGATGGTTGGGAGCTGCCTGTGGGTGTTGGGACTTAAACCCAGGTTCTCTATCCTCTTAACAGCTGAGCCATCGCTCCCGACTATGGTGAGCATGAAGTTGTCAGGCCGTCTGTTGGAGCCTGAGGCCCTGGGTTTGTACAAAGCCACACCTAGCTACACACCCCACTCCCTGACATTCAAGTTGACAATCATATTCCATTAGTGTTTTTCCAGTACTTTTTTCATATGTAGCATAGAGTGGTTTGAATTTGTGAGCCATGCCTAGAGTCCCAGGTAGTTTGTCACAGCTGTGAAGTCTGACTAATGTCAGAAAGATGTTCCAACTTACTCCACTAAGATCAGTATTAACATCAAAGCCAGGTATAGACATCACAGGGAAACTACAAATCAGAATTCCTTATGAATACAGACACAAAACCTCTTTCAACAGAATATATAATCTGATTTAGCAACATATAAAGTAGATCAAACACCACAACTAATTAGTATTTAATTTAACAAGAATGCAAGGTTAGTTTACTATTTGAAACTCTAGGTTAATAAGTGTCTTAGGGTTTCTATTGCTGTGAAAAGATTCTATGATCATGGCAACACTTTTTTTTTCATAGTAACTCTTTTTTTTTTTTTTTTTTAGTTTTTCGAGACAGGGTTTCTCTGTATTGTTTTGGAGGCTGTCCTGGAACTCACTTGGTAGACCAGGCTGGCCTCAAACACACAGAGATCCGCCAGCCTCTGCCTCCCGAGTGCTTGGATTAAAGGCGTGTGCCACCAATGCCTGGCTTCATAGCAACTCTTATAAAGACAACATTTAATTGGGGTGTCTGGCTTACAGCTTCAGAGTTCAGTCCATCATCATCATGGTGGGGAGCATGGCGATGTACAGGTAGACATGGTGCTGGAGTAGCCAAGAGCCCTACATCTTGCAGGCAACAGGAAGTCAACTGAAACACTGGGAAATCTCACAGCCTGCCTCCACAGTGACACACTTCCTTCAACAAGGCGCCACCAATGCCTGGTACCACCACACTTCTTAATAGTGCCACTCCATATGAGATTACGGGGGCCATTTACATTCACACTACCACAATAAGTAAAGGACAAAACTCAGACGGTTGTCTCACAGATAGAAAAAGTATTTGAACTGGGTATAAAGTGCTTTCCTAGCATGAGCAGGGTCCTAGGTTCAATCCACAGGTCAGAAGGGGTAGGCGACAGAAAAAGTATTTGATAAAATCTGAAACCAGTCAACCTAGTGGTACAAACCTCTTGTCTCAGGTATTCTGAAGGCTGGAACTGAAGGATCATTTGAGCCTAGGAGGTTAGGTCAGTTTGGGCAACATAGCAAGACCCTGTATCAAATAATTAGAATACCTAACACAAAGCTTTGCAAAAATTCTCTGGATGGGATAGCATAAACCTTTAGTCCCAGTACCCAGGAGGCAGAGGCAGGCAGATTTCTGTGGGTTTGAGGCCAGCTTGGTCTATAATGTGAGTTTCAGGACAGTAAAGGCCATGTAGAGAGACCCTGTCTGAAATAACAGAAACAGAAACAAAAAATTTCAACAAATTTAGGAATAGATATGAAATTCCTTAGGTAGGTATGGTGGCTCATGTTTTTAATCCCACCGTTCTGGAATGCTAAAGTGGGAAGATTAACAGAAATTTGAAGCTAGCCTGCAGTATATAATGAGAACTTGTCTAAAAGCAAAATAAATAAAAGGATAAATGAAATCCCTGAATCTGATAAAGATTCCTAGTCAGGACTGAGTCGTAACATCCCCAATAGGCAGGATTTCTAACTCTAGTATTTCAGAACATGACTTATTTAGGATCTTTTCAGGGGTAATTGAGGTTAAGTATGCCTTTTGGGTGTGCTCTAATCCAGTCTGACTGATGTCCTTGGAAGAAAGGATTATAACACAGGTACGGAGGGAGACGATGATCTCTGCAAACCGAGGAGTGAGACCCTCAGGAGAAACCAGCATGTCTGTTCTTTGCTTTTGGTCTTTAAATGTTCAGAACTGGGACTAGATACATTTCTGTCAATTGCCCTGCCTTGCATGGTCAAGACGGGGTCAGTTACAGAAACACCTCAGACCTGGATCTGACAGCCAAAGGCCTGTGCTGTTCTCAGTGACAGCTGAAGACCTGCAATCACTGCCCCCAGCAAAACTGTGGAGACCACCAGAGCCTAAGGGAACCTGTCTGGTTTCATTTTAACTGATACATAGGCCCTTTAGATTACATTTCCAGTCATAGTTTATCCTTTTCAGATCTCTAAGGATACTGACTGTAGTTTTAAAAATACAAACACCATTCCAGGCTTTGGCTGCCTTCTCAGTTTTCTTCCTAACTAAAAATCAGGTGGCTGGCCTGGCTTCCTAAGGCTGATGCCAGGTCTAAAAACTATTTGCCTTGCTACCAGCTTTCAAATAAGAAATAAACTTACCAAATAGGTTTCAAAGTAACTTTTTTTTTTACTATTTCTTTGTTTAAAGGAACTTGTTTTACACTGACTACTACTGTAATCAACCACCTGTGCCTCCTGATAAAGAACTGGATAAAAAAAGATACAAAGTTTAAAGCTTAAGCTCTATGGATTGAAAAGTGTAAGGTCCGTGGACATAAAATCTTAAGCTAGGACTGAAAAATGATTTAAGATTTATAAAAATAAAAAATGTTTCAAATCTCTTCCCCTCTCTATGCTATTGTTATATTGAGACTTCAAAAGTTCAGAGTTTTGACATTAATCCTTAGAGCTCTGATGAGCTATAAATCTAGCTCTGGTAAACACTGACTAGTATTATCATAGTCACAAGCTCAAGATTTTAAATTCCCTTTGGTTGTTTTCTAAGAATAGAATTAAAAGTGTTTCTCATTGTGCTAAAAACATCTGCCTAACCTATCTATATTTTCCACGATATAGATTTCAGTACAGATTACAAACGATAACAGTGCTAACGTATCTGGAACTTTTGCCTCTTGGAAACGTTTCATATAAGCTTCAGGAAATCAACTTGGAGGATTATTCTACTTCTATTCCTTCTTGCAGTCGTCATCAGATATTTAGGATCCTGCTCTGCCCAAAGAGAGATTCACGCACTTCATTTAATAAACAAAAGGGGAGAGGATGCCAGAGGACCAGTCCGAGGAGCAGCAGGTGGCAGTTAGAGTTTGATGCGTCAGCCCACCAGGTGAATCCCTGATGGGTGAATCTTGGACAGGCGATACCCTGAGACCACAGGCACCAGAATGTCTTTTGCTTCTGCTGTGCCTTCATGTGTTTGCCATTGCCATCTTTCTCTGGTATCTGGCAGGATGTGGATGGGTGTCGGGGGGATCCCCACTCTCTGTAATGCAGTATGATTATCTCATG